ATCAAAAGAGATAACATCAAAAAAAAAGAAATATTTAATAATATATATATTTTAAAAGAAGTGAAGAGGGGGGTGGAATTGGTGAGCTTTATGCCCAACCTGGATTTTGGGTGGTTTAACAAATATAACTACAATGCTGCAGACTTGTGGATACATTGGACAGTTACACCACTGTTGAAGATATGAGAACAGGTTTATCTAATCAGAGAATTATTTTATGAAGCCTGAAGAAAGTACTTTGTCAGTGATTTTAATGTTAATAGTTTAAAGTCATGCAATCTGGCAATACTGAAAAAAATACCAAGAATACAATTTCCCTTTAAACTGGCAAAAGAGTACGGTCTATGGATACTGTGAGATTGAACTGACTTTTGGTTAGTTCCACAGTCCTCTAGGGATCTCAAATCAAGTGTTTTGATAGGATTAGATTTGCTTGGGGAGAATTAAGAAAGGGTGGCACAGGCAGAAAGCCTTCTCCACACTTCAAAAAATTAGAAAATGGGGCAGATCCTATTCATAATGAACAAAAGGAGCACAAATGCCTTTGCTAATTAGAAGAGATCTGATCCATCTTCTATGCTGTGTCTGCACTGGACACCACAGGAGATCTGGAGCTGCTATCTTTGCCTCCCTCTGCCCGACCTCCCCTCGCCCCCCCCCCCCCCCCCCCCCCCCGCCGCGGGGAGCGGGGGGGGGGGGGGGGGCTGGGATTAACAGCCAGGCATAGAGACAGAGATAGAAGGTTAGACTTGAGACAGGTCTATCTGCTTTGTTAATGCAGTGCATGCCACTTGCACCAGTTTTCTGTACCATTGTAAAGGTGCAGGAAGCTTTGTTAATCCCCCCCGCCTTGGGGTCTTATTTCTACATATAGAAGTTCACCAGAAAAAGTGTAGAAAAGCAGAAAAGCAATAATTTATGTTTACACACCCTCAGATAGTATTCATTTGTTATTTATTTTAGCTGCCTTCTATCCAAAGCCTTGAAAATAAATATCTTTCTTCATGACTTGTATACATTTTTGAACATTGCAGAAGCACATAAAAAAATTAAATATATGCCGTAAAAGGGGTACAAATACAAAGTGATCTAAATGTAAATATTTTCAATGTCAATACCTATTTTATAGATACTTTAGCGCATTTTATATAGGCTAATTCTTGTACCAAAATGTTTTTATCTACTATAGCTTATACAGGTTTAACGTATCAAAGCTGTATTAAAGAATTTAATTGTGCTTTAGACATCAATTAGTGTTATAATTACATCTTGCACCTGCAATACATGGAATTGCTTATTTTCTGAAAGGTTCTGCAAAAAAAAAATCTCCATACAGACTGAAAACAATGCACAGAGCATTCCCAGCTGCCCCGCTGTGCTGTATTGCACATCTGAGGTAACAGGTTTTGCCAAATCACTGCTTTCAAATTACTTCAGTTCCATCTAACTGCTGTGTTTTGTAATCCTATGATAACTTTAGACAGCATTTTCCTTCACTAATGATTTTAAATAGCCTAATGGTTTCAAATCGCTATTAAACTATTAGTCCACTATGCTCACTAAATAATTGGAAATAACAATAAATTGGTGAAGGTTGAATAAATACAATTTTCAACAAGTTACTGATACAGAAAATCGGTTTTAAGCATGGTGTTGAAAAAAATCTAGTCACAATTTAGTGTGCTGTTTTATTTAAAGTATGTCTGATGACTGGATGGTATGAGAACAGCCTAAAGAGAAAATGACATGCTAAAATAAAGGGCAACTTCATTCAAAATAAAGAAAATATAATTTAGATGGTTTTTAGTGGCATCTGAAAATGTGTTATAGCTCTTGGTTTTCTGTGTATGTGGTTGCTGAGGTTACCCTTTCATTGTGGCTGCTTTTCTGTGTAAAATTATTTCTCTACTGTCTCTGCATTGCTTCCTGAGAATCCCTTGCAAGGAATATTGTGCTTTTATTTGCTAGTTAATATGGCACTTACCCAGAACAAGCATTTCCATATCATGCATCAACATGGTTGTTCCAGATCAGTGACTGCCTGAGTAGTGAAGGAAGAATGAGAATGACAGCCTCGAAGCGTGACCCTTTTAAGCCAACTAAGCAATTGTAGCTTCTACAGCTCAGATTCTATTTTGAAGACCTCTGGGATCGCCAGTTCCCCCATCCCACTTTTGCCCACTCCACCCCTGCAGTCCTAAACAAAAAAAGCTTTATACATGCCTTATGTTCAAGAGTTTGGTCTGGTTCAGTGAAATCACAGGTCCTGTTCTTCCTCTGGCATTGGGTAGATCCTAAATGCTGCACAGGGTGGTGCCACATAATAACATGGTGCCACTCTCTCCAATATTTTCCTGTGAGTCCAGGTTAGGGGGGGTGGAGCCATTATGCCCTAGGCTCACAAGAAGTGGGTTGAAGGATGCTGGGCATCAGTCAACCCCAAAGAGGGCCAGCACTGGATCAGTGATGGGACAACAGGGATAAGGTGAGTATAGCAACTGGAGGTGATTTTTTTATTGTTAGTATTTGCTGCCAATAAATTATGTAAGTCAAGACAGCAGTTGAGGGCCTTGAGAGCCCAATTAAAATTCACACCCCTGAGGAATAGAGATCCTAAACTGACAACAGCAGTGAGGATTGGTCTCACTGAAGTCTCAGGCTGCTAGTTACAAGCGTTAAAAGCAAGTGATAGATTCTATGAAGTGCAATTAGCTGATCTGATTTCCTTTATAAAGATTAATTAGCTACGTTCCAATCTGGCTTTCGTCCGCCACACTCCACAGAAACTGCCCTTATAAAACTTACTAACAAACTACTGCTAAAACCAATAGCCACTACTCTGTACTCATACTTTTAGACCTTTCTGCTGCCTTTGACACAGTTGACCACCCGCTTCTCCTTAATAAACTTAATTCCCTTGGCCTCCAAGACACTGCTTTCTCATGGTTCATCCCCTACCTATCTTAGAGCACCTTCAGTGTCACCTACGATTCTACCTCCTTCTCTCCTCTTCCTCTTTCCGTGGGGGTCCCCCAAGGGTCTGTCCTTGGGCCCCTTCTATTCTCTCTGTATAATAATAATACTTTAAATCTTATGAAAAGTAGTATTACAGTGCTACACATTCAGCCTTTATTCAATTTTATTGCCATATTGATTCAAGAAGACATGGTCACATTCAGTTGATGTTCAACAACCATTGCAACGGGGAAGATGTAGGATCTAAGTAACATTGAAAGTGGAATGTAATTTAAGGGAGAAAGGCCTGAATAAATTTTCCCATTTGGCAAGAGTATTTCTTTAGCATATGTTTGTTTATATCAAAGTTTTGCCTATTTACTCACATTTTAAGGGCAGTTTACTAAAAGGTTTGGCAAACAAGAAAGTATCCTATAGGAACACTTCCAGATTTGTGTTATCCCAAAAAATGTATCCACACCTCTGAGGATCACAAATGCATATTTCCCAATATATTGACAGAGGAAACTATGAACTGAAATGCCTAATGTGATTTTCCAAACTCCATATATGTCCCTACCTAGTTAAACTGTAAATCTTATACAAGCTACATGCCTGTCAGTGGTCCAGAAGAAGTCATACCCGTTAATCCCTGTACCCACAGTAGATTATGCCTTGTAAGAGAGACCAGGATGTAGGATATATGGTACAGCAAGTTTTTTTTTTTTCATGAAATCACTTCAAACTGCCAAGTAGTAGCAATGATAAATTATACTGAGTAAAATCTTGTCGTAATTTCTCCTGTTTATCTTTTCCATATTCATTGAGGGGAGATAGGCTGTAAAACATCCAGGACACCTTCAAAGAAACTTGAAAATAATTCCAGCATTATTCCTTTGTATACTAAACAAACCATACAATTTGATCATGTGATTTTTTTATTAATACTATTTTTTAATAATTCAGTCATAATCAGTAAAGGTCAGCAATCCAGAACACCTTTGATACTACAACCGCATTAAACATATTCCCCAGTTTTGACAGCTACTAAAGGGGACCTCATTAAAACTTGCTTCTAAAATATTAGTGAAAGTAGAGGTCTCAGTTGCATACATACCACTATCAATGAGCCTCTGCACATGTAATCATACTCTAATTTATGGGAGAACAAATAGTGGTCAGAATTTAGACCTGCATGCTACCACTTCTGCTGGATAGAAAGGGGTGAATGCTGAGAAATGATTTTGTTTCAAGCACTTGTAGTGAATAGCCCCTCCAAGTAGTCTTTTTTTTAATATGTACAAATTAACAAGCTACTTGTTTTTTTTTCTTTGCAAATTCCAACAATATAATAATATACAGAAAGCAAATGAGCATATTGTAATTTATTCTTGTATTCTTGATATTGTTTCTGTTTAATGCAAATAATGGTATCAGTTTTATTTGTTGTCCACTTTTTGTGTAGCAATGCAATATGTTTAAATGCAAATGGTTTGGATTAAAAATATGAAAATTATACAAAAATAAGAACGTGATGTACTTTATTTAATGCATTCCACTCCAGCATCTTCAGTGTGTGAACAATCTGTGATTCCCCAGCCTCTGAAGTTACAGTTTGTAATGGAAGTTTCATATCCAGTGCATCTAACATCATCCATCCATATTTTAACCTTTCCTGCAAAAAAAAAAACCACTGTTGCTAAAGGAAATTTTGTAGAACAGCCTATAATTTTGTAACCACTATCTGTGTTTTCAATTAAAACAGATCTTCATTTAAATAAGAATTTCAGCCCGAATTTGTATTAACCCTTGCAGTGGGGCTACCTCTGCACTACAAGGTTTAACTGCTTGTTTTGGCCTAGTGAGGAAAATAACAAAGTTATACTTACCTGATCCTTCGAGCCAGCTGGATGTGACAGTGCTCCCTCCTGCCTATCTCCTTCTCTGCTGCAGCTTTGGTGTGTACCTCAGCATCCTCATGTCCTATACACAGTGTATAGAATGTGATAACTCAGGGACCTTAGACTGATGCAGCACTGGGAGGAGGGAGGCTAGAAGGACCATTCTAAGAGTTAGCTGGCTCAGAGAATCGGGTGAGTATAACTTTTTCATTTTAGCACCTAGACCAAAACAGGGCACTTAACCCTTGTAAGGCAAGGGTAGCCCCACTGCAATGGTTTCTTGTTTAAAATTGAACTCCAGCCAAAACATGTATTTTTAAAACGTTTTGAATAGCATTGTGGAAGTTAGAACCTCATGCTTTTATTGTCAAAGTGTTCTGGGAAGGTGTCCCCTCACCAGAACAGGATAAATTTCCATAACAGCAGGTCACAGATAGCAGTACCATGCCAACAATCATTTTGGACTGTATCCAAAAGAGCAGAATGTTTAGCTGGACTTCCACTTTTTAAGATGAAATCCAGGCAGATATGAAAGACCATTTAACTGAGTTATGAATTATTAGAAGGTATTTTTTTTAATACAGCTAGTATGAGTACCTGAATCTGTCTGTTTATTAGCAGGAGGGAACAGAATGAGAGAGAGATGAGCTCATCAGTAAGCTTCTACTTTAACTGTCCAGTCATATGCTTGGGGAAGGGCAAGACTCTTAAGTGTTACTGAACTGCAGTAGAGAAAGAAAACAGGTCTCCTGCCCTGCCAGACAGAGCCTTGCTGTGTGACAAAGCTTTGCAAACCTCAGAACTTGCTAGACAGAAATACAAGTTATTTGGCAGGTAAAAAAAAAGTTCCCTTACAGGTATTTCAACTGTATATTTATCTGTGTGTCTGGAGTTCAGTTTTAAAAACGTTTACATTTTAAAAGAATATTAAATTGAGTTCAAAATTATATTTGAGTGGCTTTTTCCAAGCTTGAGTTGGCCATAGAATACAGATATTGTCATGCAATATGGATCAATTCATCACAATTCTGTGTGTTTGGTACAGTTTACAAAATCTAGGCACTGTGACCTGCATCACTGTCAGGTTTTCTTACCCATCCTTGTGCTGTTGCTTGCAGCATGGCTTGTGTAGTTTTTCTGGCACCATTGTCCCTCTTTGGCGCCCTCTTATGCTCAAGCCAGTTAACATCATCATTCTGCAACCATTTGCAAAACTCCTGACAAATTCTCATCTCAGAGTGATGATGCAAACACCAGCTCACTATTTAACCTCCAGCTTGTTCATTCAGTCTCCACCCTTCCATTTGTTCTGATCAACCAAGTGCGCTGCGATTGTTCCTGTTCTCCGTGTAAGACCCTGGCTCTGGCTGACTGATCTCCTGGTCCCTGACTCCAGCTATTGTTTCCATTCATCCTGCTCTCAGTGTTCCCTGACATGGTTCTGCTGACTACCGGCTGTGGCTTCTGATCTCTGGCTTGGCACTGACGATGCCCTGGACTTTCTCCTTTGTTTTTGCATTTATATTTATTGCTGTTTTTAATTAACTCCTTTTATATTTTAAAACCTACACTTTAGGTTTCTGCCTGCTTTTTTGGTTACCTGACAATCACATGTGTTTGGGTGGTTTAAACCCCCTTTTTGGGAGACAGGATGTGGGGATGAGGCCCTGGGAGGCCCAGGAGCATATTTATGAAGCATTGAATGTGACATGAGTGAAACATTTACTGATGGTGAATCATTCACTGTGTTATATAACATCACCAGGAGGAGTCACCTGCAGTGAATGTTTGGTGAATGCCACATTTAATACTTTATAAATATGCCCCCTGTCATTGTCATTTTTGCTGGACAGCTAGGTCAGCATGTAAATGTGTAGACAAATGTAAATAAATGCCTGTGAAATTGACTTAAAATATATTTCCACATGCAGTCAAATTGGAATAACACTTATTTTATATTTGTTACATGTTTCCATTCACATCACATAAGCTAAAACAAATATTTAAAAATGCTTTTTGCAGTTTGAATTGCTTTTACTTGCTAAAATTGTACCTTTCTTCTCCTTGACTGTAATGTTAGGAGGGGCTGTGAGGGGTTTATATAAACCCTGTCTGTACTGTGCTGGCTGATTTCATTATAATGTGCAAAGTAGATTTGAACCCTGCCTGTCCTAACAAAGGGTTAAAGGATTACAACAACCCTGCCGTCTGCATTGTATGTTAATGAAGTTAATGAGAGAAACACAATCCACACATTCCTGTCATCAGACTTTCTATGAGGACAGGTCACTGCTGTGAAGGTGCTCAGCAAAACTTGGATTCAGCCATTTTGCTTACTGCAACAAAACATCTAAAAGGTAATAAGTATTTTTTTAAACTATTTTTTTTCCACCATGGTGTATGAATAGGAACAGATAACAAATATATAAAAAGGGTTTTCTCAAATTTGACTGCATAATGGAAATACGCTTTATATACTGAATACTATCTTGCATATATAAACTACAACTATGGTCCTATAAGAGCATTGTGATAATCTGAAAATAAATGTATTATCTACTCTTTGTTTGGCACTTAAGAGGCTCATTGATAACAGAGAGTGGATAGTACTTTCTGTTCTCTACTACTATACTCTGCAGTATTACTTTTCATAAAATTTACACTGCAGTATGGAGCCTGTGGTATTCTATCTGCTTAACACAGTAGAGAGAACTTTGTTATTGGAGGAGAGCCTGTCATGTGGCTTTTACAGGTCATATGACTGCACTTTTCTACTGGCTTTTGACATTTTTCTAAGGAGCTTCCCAATTCATTACTATTGCACTTTGGTTTCTTACCCCTAAAGCCATAAGGGCATAATGCACGTTTGCAAAGCATATGCAGGTTTTTTTTACTGATTTTTAAATAGATTCCTGAGGGTCCATTCACACTAGATATGTTGGGGCTGCACTGGCTGTTTTTTTTTCAGTGCAGCCCTAACGCAAGACAAGGCAATTTGCCTTGTCACAGATGGACACTATTCACACCACCGTGTTGCGCTGGAACATGGTGGTGTGCTCTGAAAAAAGTACAGCCGCCTCGCACCCTGCTGTGCTCATAGAACTAAATACAATTTCACTTGTGACAATTAAATAAAGTACTAAAAAAAGTACACAGTGTGATGTGCCAGGATCAGCGCACTAGCACTGTGCTGGGCAGTGGGCACTGTACAACAGCTGCTTTGCAATTTAGTGCAGAGGCTGGCGTGAATGGGCCCTTAATGTAAATCTACTCTACCTAATAACTCAATTTTGGGTAAGTTGGTTGCTTCACATCCCAAAAGATAATAAGTCGCAGACTGATTCAGTTTACTAACTAAATAGGAATAATAGTTTTTGGTTGACTCATTACTTAGTAAATATGGATTAAACACCTGTACATTATTAATATATTATAATTTGAACAATTACCTTGACCAAAAAATGCTTTGGTGTAAACCTGAGCAACACCAGAAAATCCCAACATCTTGCACACCACTTTTCCATCATTATTATCCCAGTGATCATCACATATGGTGCCCCACTGTCCATTGTAAAAAACTTCAACCCTTCCTCGGTGAGGCGAAGATCCATCAAGAAGGCGAACAATGGGTTCTATATTTGGGAGGATAAGGCAATGACAGTGTAACGTTAGGTATCTTACAATACGGTACACCACTTTTACCAGTATAGTTAGTTATTAACATAATTCCTATAGTGTACGTTAGCCTTTTAATGTTTATTTAATGTTTCGATTACTCAAATTAGCAACACTGACTTTTTCTTACTTTTTAAATGAATTGACACATGCCCTAAAAAAGTAAAGTTAAATACAAACTTCTAATAGAAGGCAGTTTTTATTTAAAAAAAAAAAAGTAAGACATTTAAGGAACTTTTTAGCATAACATAAGTCTTTATTTATTGAGGGGGGTATGCTCAAAAATGCCTTGCAATGTAACTCAGTGGCACTGCAGACAGATTTTTTTTGTAGACAGTTAATTTCTCCCTAGACATAAGTGGACTTGAGTGGAAAAGACAGTTACATAGCAAATAATAAACTAATTTAAAATACCCCACACACAGTCAGGTTAAGTAAAAGTTTACATCTGCAATATTTTCTTGTTTATTTGTTTTACTACAGTACAGAGTGCCAACAGGAAAAGTTAAAAGAGGCTACATTAAATTAAACAAACAAATTTTAACCAGTGAGCATTCTAAAACTACTGTTACTTTAGATACAAAGTAGAAATCTTTATCTCATGACCCATTGATCACAACATTATATTTTGTTGCTGTTGAAGTTATTTACAAATAAATAAAGGGATGTTTCCCTTGTTTACAAAAGAATAAAAACTTTTCGATATTTCTGGATGGGGTACATATAACACAAACAGCGAGGAAGAACCTAAGCAACTTAAGTGAAGTCGTTAAGGATTTTGATATAATGTAACAGATTGAGTATAATAAGGGTTTGCAAAGGCCAATTTTAACATTAGTAATGCGCTTTTCTCAAAGCCCTGTCACCCAGAATCAGAATTTGCCTTTTAAAAATCTGGGCAGAGTACACTACATTATTGTTGCTATGAGTTAGTGTACTTTGCTTATCATTTTTGCACTTTTCACCACCTTACTAAATTATTCAGCAATTGTCTTAAAGCCCTTTCACACAGTCTTGTCAGTTTTTCAGGCCGACCTGATCAGAAGTCTAATGATAGTCTATGGGTAGCCAGATCTAAATAGACTGGAGTCCATTTACATCTGGTTTCACCCAGCTTCAGCAAGGTCCACAAAAACATACAAATCAGGGTTCTTTTTCATGTGGGCCTGATCGTGCTGGATTGAGGGTCCAAGTCTACTGACATAGATTCCCCATAGACCAACATGTCCAGTAATTTTAGTTTTTTCCTCTATTGCAAGATAGAGGAAAAAACTGGATGGACACGGATGTCAGAATGGTGACAGACATTCTGATCAGCAGGGGATCCGTGCACGGATCCCCTCCTAATCAAACAGTGTGAAAGGGGCCTTAGTGTTTCCCCTTTTGTGGTCAGATATGACTTCATCATTTTTCAGTGCAGTAGAAGAGAAATCTGTAATTGTAGGCTGTATTCCAACTTTGATAACCTTTTTTTGAACATCCAACACTGTTTTAATGCTCTGTCATACTTACTTCAGTAAAAAATACGGGGAAATATAAACAGTTGCTATATTATAGAACAAAACAAACCTGGTTTACTAGAAGTAGTTGTAAGGTCCACAGTAGCAGAATTTCCTGCTCCCTTTTCACCTTTTTCTCCCTTTTGTCCTTTTTCCCCTCTGGCACCTTGTTCCCCTTTAGAAATGCAACAGTTTTAATAATTTTGAAAGTACAGTTGTTGATGGATTGAGGTTACGTTTGTTAAGTGGAGAGTGGTATAGGAACAAGGGCTGGAAGGATTTTGAATGCTCATTCCATGGCAATGGCATGAGCTGGTAAAGTTTTGTATGTGTGGAAAAGGGATATGGATATACATGTATCAGCTAAAATGTAGAGAGGCAATACTGGTAGATTTTTTTTTACACCACTTTCTAGATTACACTAGCCCAGCGGCCGACTGACCATACAGGCAGTCGGGCATTCCCAAGAGCCCACGGCCAGGAGGGGTCCTGTCACCGACCCCCTGCTGCCCTTTACAGCCCGCATGGAAGGAGATGTGGCTGTGTTAAAGTGGCGGCGGATCCCGGGCCCACCAGAGACTGCCATCACCGCTTTAACACAGCTTCATCTACTAATTTTGCAGGGGCGCAGCCAAGAACAGCTCCGAGGTAGGGAGATACTGAAATCCAGTTCTGGGCCCCCCACTGGAGCAATAGTGCCCTGCTACCCACATCTGTACCTGGAGGCTTCCTCTTCTGCCCCTGGTGAGACCGTCACATCTGCCCCGCTTAGACCCTCCACGTCTGCCCCTGCTTAGACCCTCCGCATCTGCCCCTGGTAAGACCTCTGCATCTGCCCCTGGTGAGACCCTCCTTGTCTGCCCCTGGTAAGACCCTCTGCATCTTCCCCTGGTGAGACCCTCCACATCTGCCACTGGTGAGACCCTCTGCATCTGCCTGAGACCCTCCACATCGGGGACCTGGCCTCCTGCGGGGCAGCCTGCTGCACCCACCTGCTGGTCCTGTTGAAGGTTGAGTACTCACTTGTGTGCTGGCATGGAAAGAGCTACCCATTAACGGGTGTGTGCTGGTGACATCCCACAGGGGATCAGACTGTGTGTGATAGCCTATCCCAGAGATGTCGTTGTGTATGTGTCATTCTAACTGCCCAGTCTGCCATGTATTGGTGCTGGTCTGAGGTCTGCCATGTATTGGTGCTGGTCTGAGGTCTGCTGTGTATTGGTGCTGGTCTAAGGTCTGCCGTGTATCGGTTCTGTCTGAGGTCTGCCATGTATTGGTCCTGGTCTAAGGTTCGCTGTGTATTGGTTCTAGTCTGAGGTGTGCCATGCGTTCTGCCATTTAGCTCATTTTTCAAATTGCCTATATTTCCCAGCAATTCATCTGGGATAGTGATTTGGCCCACTATTTTAAAAATAGTGTAGAGAAATAATTTCTGTAACACAAAAATGTTGATGCAGGTGGAGCTTGTGGGTGGGTGGAGCACAAGGGGGGCCCATAATCTTGTATTACCCGGGGGCCCCATGTGTTGTCAGTCCGCCCCTGCACAAGCCTAGGCTGTTTTGTAGCACTTTACAATTTATACCTTTCATTCCACGACCTGAATATCCTTGCAGTCCTTTTGGTCCTGGAGGCCCTGAAAGTACATTTAAATAATTACATTTCTTAAGTTAAAATAATAATTAAAATCAATGTTTTAAAGTGAACCTGACTGATACCATTCTCCCAAGATGCTCTTTTTATTCATTGGCACAGCCAATTGACTGAAGCTCAGGGACTCTTTAAAGCTGAACTCCAGACAAACAACTAAATACCCACAGACAATTTATATATTGGGACCATAGGGAACAAAAGTAGCCACCCTCCAGTAGGTATGAGATTCAGAGATGATTTGAGGATCTACAGCTGAGTGATATACAAATAAGGTACATTTTTGTGAATAGTTAAGGTACTTGAATGCATTTTTAAGATTTAACTACTGAGTTTAATGTCACTTTAAACTTCTATAAATTTTTTTGTTCTTTGTTTTCTGGGATCCAACAAATCCTGAGCTCTCTCTCATCCTGTAATTGATTTTAAGAGCACACCAGCTAAAGGCTATTGCTCAGATTACCACCCTATACATACACTGTAATGATGTACTAATAAATTTGCGTTACATACATGTCTCTTGCTTACTCCTAGCACCGTGAATAGACATGGCAGACATGAGCAAAACAACAGGTTCACTTCAATGCTAACCCCCACAGCTGCTTATAGTTATCTTCCCTTACTTTGTAGTGCTTGTTTCACTAGGAAGAGCTAAGGACTCTTTTCCAACCCTGGCATGACAGAGGGCTGCCAGAGAGGCCACATAACAAGCACCCGCGCTGTCACCTGGAAGGACGTTGATGGGTTACTCTGTGATAACCCTGGGGTCAAATCTGCCGTGGACTTTCTACTTCTCTTCTGCTGAATCAGTACACTCTCAAGCAGGGTAAGTACACTCTCATGTCGCCCCATCCAAATCAATGGGGCCACGCGGAAATCGCTGCCTGCATTGTGTCGTCCCGGGTGTCATGCAGTGTAGTGCAGGTGTGAACCTAGCCTTAACCCCTTCGTGACTGACGACGTACAGTGTACGTCGCCAGCATCGGGGCTGTTTAAACAGACTCCCGGCGACTTTTGCCGCCGGGACTCTGTTTAAACTTGTAGAGCCGACTGTCGGCTTTACAACAGAAGCGATCCTGGCGACTTACCTGTCGCCAGATCGCTTACACTAAATTTTGGGGTTTAATAAGGAGTTGCGCTAATATTGCGCAACATAAAAATTTTCAACTACCACCATTTTATTCTATAGGGTCTTGGCATTCAGAAAATATATAATGTTGGGGGGGTTTACGTCATTTTCATGCCTAAAATGTGGAATATAGCATGGGTGCAAAAAATGAAAAAAGGGCCTCAGTCATGAAGGGGTTAAGGTTGTTACAGCTTAAACAAGTACTCTAACTTGAGACAAAGAAACTACTGCTAATATTATATTCACTTCATCCCTTCAGATGGGAAGTGAGTCACATGTTCCCCCGTCTGAAAGTACCAGGTATGTCACTTTGAACCAAGTGGCTGGGAAGTAAAGGCAAGGTTAGTCAAACCACCTGCAGGAGCCAATATAAAAGGAACCTGCAGGGCAAAACAAAAATCCACTTTAAAGAGAGATAAAGTATGGACTTAAAACTCTTTACGTCAACTTAAATCCATCCTTTACATAACCATAAATCCACACCTAGTAATTTTATCTAGAAATTATGGCAACTCCTACTTTCACCACATAACAAGAATAAATAAGTTCCATCCCTGTTCTTGATCGTGCCTTTAAGTCCTTTCCTGCTGCAGAAATGTTTCTAATCTTGTGAAGGAGAAAATTATAGTTGCCAACTGTCCACATAATTACAGCCAATCCAAACTAAAGGCTAATAAATTACACATGTCTGGAAAGTGACACAACTAAGGATCTGTAATGTTTTTTCCTTTGGTTGAGTGTGAGCAATTTTTTCATGTTTTTATCAGATCTAAAGTCATTGTACAGCCGGAACTGTATTTGCTGTGGTCATCTATATCTATTGTACCTCCACACCAAACTTATGTTAATATACAATATCATTACTAAAAACTCTAACGTATAGAGCACCTTTACTAAACTGGAACCTATAAGAAACCATTGTAAAAAAAAATATCCTAATCACTTCAGGCAGTTTTGTATTGTTGTGGTAAGGTATCTATAAACAATTTGCAGCTTTTTGTTACTTTTAGTTAGTTGTCTGTATAAAATTATATTTTGGGCAAACCTGCACTGTATTCAAGCATTTTGAGAAGGAGGCAGCTGCTATTATTCTCTCATGACAGGTGTGCTTTAAAATGGCCCCAAGACGTTGTAGGCTTTTAGGAACTCATGCAATATGGACCTAAAATTCTTTGGAATTCCTCATTGTGCTGATGTAAGTGTTTAAATCTTAAAGATTTCAAAAACATCACATAAAAATGTACCTGGTCTTCCAATTATTCCTGCTAAGCCATTGTCTCCCTTTTCTCCTTTTGGACCAGGAGGACCTAGAATGTAAATTTCAGCAATTTAAATAATACAATTAATAGTTGCAATGAATTGGTGTGATTACTGAAAATGCTTCATATTCCATGCACAGTTTTAAAGTTTGAAGAATTATATTGAGTGCAGTGCTAAATATGATGGCACACAGCTTAATATAATAGGCCAGGTATTGAAATAATATTGGTTCTGAGCTAGAAAACATTTTCACTAATACCAGCTTATATCTAGCTAGAAGTTCTCATTTTCTCATTAATGCATTAATGTCACCTGACATTTATCACAAAGTAACACAACAGCTTATTGTACCTGTGTTTGTTTTTTAAATTTAAAATTACAGAATGAAAATTGGTTATTTAGCTGATAACTAATTTAACTTTATTTCAGAACTGTAGAAAGATACAAGGGAGCAGAGTATTCTGTTCCCTAAGTGGGTCCTGTCAGAAAACTAGCCAAGAGGGCCCCAATCAGATTCTTTCCCAGGGCCTCCATTTATCTAAAACCAGCCCTGTTTACACCATACTCGCGCATCATGGCATAATTTCCTTACACACTGCTTTCCTCTGGAAATGATAGCTCCAGACTACAGTCTCCCATTATTGCTGTGTCCTCTGCTGCTGCTTCTGGGTCTGGTGAATGCACCTCTCTGGGCAGTTGGGAGCCACTGATGATGTACTTCTGCACATACACTTAGAATACATCATACACTGTACTCATGTCTATTCTATGAATCTTTCAGATGCCGGGAATGAGCTGGGGCTGTACACTGTGGTGCATACCCCATGCAGTATACTTAGAAACTGAAAAGCTTCTAGAAGCCAGGTGGAAAGGTTTTCTGGCAAAAGAGACATTGCATGTCTCTTTTTCCCAAAAACTCTAACCGTTTTTTGTATTGAGTGACCTTAATTCTACTTTAACTAAGTCTTTAACATGTTTGTAAACCTTAACAAAAATGTATTTGTTCCATTTTGGGTTGTTAAATATACCATTGAAATTGTTTTGTTGTATCTGTTCCATAACTGAAAAAAAGGTGTCTGTTAGTGGTGCTAAAAATCCAGTGAGCTCATAACTTAATTTTCATTGTTTCAGTTAACAGTGTTATTAGCCCTGCTCAGTTCTGTCTGTGGACTATAGAACCCCTCCACCCCCCCCCATGCTATAGAAATAAGGAAAAGGAGAGGTATCCCTCCATACATACAGTACAGTGACGTAGTGTTGGAAGGACAGGAAGTGTATTAGTGGCAGGATCACTAGGTTGTAAAAAAAAAAACATTCAGAAAAAGAGAAACTAATGCAGCCACCAAACCTAAGGACTAGAAAGCTGAACTAAATTACATTTTTGTTCTTGGGTTTAGATACACTTTAAATCCTAACCCCAGTAGTTTCCCGATTATGTATCAATTTATTTGTCTTATATATGATATGAGAAGCTTCTTTTTATACTTACAGCCTAAATATAAAAAAATGGGCAAAGCAATAAAGATATATTAAACTTGTAGATGTATTTACCTTGAATTATTGTCATATTTTTCAGTATGAGAGAATGTTCCCAATCTTTTAACTGAAGATCATTAGTGATCTGATTCAGTGTTTTTACTTCCTCTTTCATTTCTTGTTGCATTGTCATATACTGCTGTTTTACAGTGTTAATATCTGATGATGCATTCTGAAAGTACATGTAGTGTTGCCCAATTTCCTTTAGAAAGAATGGAAAAAAGAATGTTAAAAATTGCTTATTAAACGGTTTCTGTCCTGGTGGTGACACCAGTTTTCCCCATTTCTTATCCCTTTTTTCATAGGGACAGCAAGTGATTGGAAATATCCCTCATAAAGCTTTAATGCTTATCCTCAATTAAAAGGAAAAAAAATTGGCTGGAGTTGGACTTTAGTATAACAAAATAGATAATTTCCAAAACTGAAATAATTAGCCTGCTATCAGCAGTTTAGCTGTGTTACAACTGGTAATTAGTCCCAATAAACTAGACTTGTTGCTTATAAAAGCAGTTTCTTCAGTTCTAATGTTACCATTATACTAAACATATACTATACAATGTAACATTAGAACTAAAGAACAACTCTGGGCAGAATAAAAATGATTGCTTGCAGTGGGGCTACATCTACACTGCAAGGGTAAATTGCTCATTTTGGTCTAGGGTCTCAAATAATAAAAATATATACTCACCTGAATCTCTGTCCTGTCTGGCTGCTAGAATGGTCACTGCAGCCTCTCTCCTCCGTTATGGCGGTTCAATGACCCGTGATACTGTGCCAAATAGTTTGTCTTAAAAGTATTTTATTCCTAATGCTCCAGGCTGTGGGCAGTCAATCAGCATCATTACGTACAACAAAGAATATCAAGTCATATAGTTTGTCCTAAAAGTATTGTATCCCTAATGTTCCGGGCTGTGGGCAGTCAATCAGCATTACCACATACAATGCAGGACTTATAATCCTGCATTGTATGTAGAGGCGGCAAGCATGTGACTGTAGCCAGGAGCAGCGTAGTGAGGAAGCCTTCGGGGACCAGTCACAAAGATGGAGGGAACCTATCAGAGTAAGGAATACGATTAGCATTACTCCTTATTCCTATATCCCTAGACTTACCCTAAAGTCTGTTTATATTCGATTTCCCCGTAGACCAATATGGGTCTGGTCATTTAAGTTTTTTCCATCATGAGATGGTGGAAAAAACTGGAGGAACATGGATGTCACAATGGTGACATCTCTTCCGATCAGCAGGGGATCCATGCATGGATTCCCTGCATCCAGCATTGAAGGAGCCCGTGTGAAAGGGGCCTAACATATTAGGATTCAATTAGATTTTATTAGGTTCAATTCACAAAGCTACATTCACAAGGCTAAATATCTTATTTTTCAAAATAATTACAGTTATTGCCAGTTGAGTCTACTCTACCCAAAACTCAGTTTTGGGTAGAGTAGAGAAGCAGTAGAACTCCTGTAGAGTTTTATTTTTAACTTTTATTAATGAGAGATTTCCCCTCAAATATTTCCCCTCAGATACAAGCAGGACATTAGGAAAAATCTCCAACATCTACTTAAACCAAAGTATTTTTTTAGTAGAGTTGAGGAAAACCCTTTCAGATTTGTATTTCTGTTTATGTCTCTGTTGCATATATTTTGATGAAACCATTGCCAGAGGGACAGGAAGTGAGGATCAATATCTCTAATGAAGCCCAGAACAGAAGTAGTAACCCAAGAGGGGGTTCCAGTTCTTCCCCACTATCCAAGAAAACAAAAAAGTTTTGACTTGCAGTTAAATCTTGGAATCATTAATGGTAATTTACTTGATATACTCAGTGTTTCTGGTTTTCCTTAAAAAATTAAATGCACTTACCTGCTTCAGAATATAAACCTTTTCAGAAAATGTCATGTTTATGTCATCTATTTTCATGTCACTGTCATCCAATGTATTGGTTACGCGTTCCAGTGTTTTTTGTATGTCCTGCATGAGTTTGTCCTTTTCTTGACTCTGTGATATGCTCTCATTTAATATTTCATTTACAGACTGCAGTTTTGCTGAGTTCATTGAAATTTGTGATTTACAGTCAGAGAGGCTTTGTATAAGCTGGCTCAGAATAATGGTGTAATCATGAAGGCTTCCTGCTTCTGATTCTTTGCCATGTTCTCCTTGATGCTCTTTTTCAGAAACGTGTTTGTATTTTTCAGACTGGGCAATCTGACCTTCAAAAGAGATTAGAAAGTTATACATAATTTATAATAAATTTCACATGCAGACTTCCAGGCACAATACCCCTTGTCCAGAAACTCGTTATTTAGAAAGTTCCAAAAAGCCAGAGACAGAAACAAGATGGATGAATCAACTATGTTTCGATCAAATGCATGTTTCTCATTAAAAAAAACAGCTCAGCGGTAATGTCTGTGTGCAGGCAGCAGGTGCTACTGCGAGACTTTCAATTGGGGTGCTTTGCCTCATGATGCAACACCTTCCGCCTGAAACAAAGTGAATAGGCATAGTGGTGGATGGGAACATTCTGTCTGTAATTACAAGAAATCATACATTTTCCTGGTCAGCAGCATCCTCTAAACTTTGTGGAGCTCAATTCCATGCTTTCTTTGCCATGATTGTCTGAAATTTAGTTTTTTTTTATGTGTGACTACCATCTGGGTTTATTTATATGTATCATGACTTAGGTCTAGTACCATATATAAGGGTAGATCAGTGGGAATTGCCCTAGCATCACCATGAGCCTTGACAAATACTGCCTGCACACAAATCTGGAACTCAAATTGAGATAACAAACAAGGATTTGTAAGTGATATTTTTATATTTATGTCTGTACCTTTTAGCTGAATAGTAGCTATTAGAAGACCAATAACAATGATATACAGTAAAGCAAGGGCAGCAATTGCAAACTTCCTTTTCAAGCCATTTATTGGTGTCGGAAAACCTGAAATATAAAAAAAAAATGTTTCATGTTATTATTTATCTATGTTTTTTATATTTGAAAAATAGATAGATAGATAGATAGATAGATAGATAGATAGATAGATAGATACATCAAGGCATGACAAAGTGGTTTTAGAACACATCAAACGAAAAGTTGATTTGCACATATGATAGAGACATAGCAACATAAACGCACTAGGTAATAACATTGTAGCATATAGGGTATAAAGGGAACAGGCAGGAAATTACATAATTATATTGACATGACAGCTATGTAAATAAGTGGAAAACAACCCCAATTTCTGAGGTAAACATTTATATATCATGCGAGGTTGGAATAACATTTGCACTTTATGGCTGCTGTCTTGTGTGCTTTTCTATTTAGCAGTTTATATATATTGTATATTATGTGTGAGTGTATAAAGAAATGGCCACTGCATTTCACTGAGTTGTGTAATTCCCTGTGATACCTCAAACGTCAGCAGACATCAGAAAAAAACAGATATTCAGAGAGATAACAAAGCATTCAACTTTTTTTTCTAAAATATTTGAGGGAAACATGCACACTTTTTGTAATTAATTTTTTGCTCTCAAATTAGTTGTACAAAATTCACAAATGTATACATATCCAACATGCAGACATTTTAAAAAAGGCAAATAGTGTAACAGTGGATAATATCAGAAAATGAAATAATTCAAAGTAAGTGTAGATTGACACCAGAAGTCCAACATTTTTAAATTAAATTTTAGAGGGCAATTTCTTCTCCCACACATAATCTTTTAATAAGGGATAATCTGATGAATTAACACCATCCACTAGGGTACACTAGGGGTTGATGAGTTCATCCATTTAATGGTAATGGCCTTGCGAGCCATGAACAGTGTTTCCTGTAAATATTCAGGTTTAATAAACAAATAAGCAAATTGCACAAAAATCAGAGAAAGTAGTCCCTTGCATCCAGAAATCAGCTATGACTGGCAGGGCCGGATTTACTCTCTGTGCTGCCTCAAGCAAGGCCAAATTCCTCTATGCGTCCCCCGCCAACCCCCCATGGAGAATGGCAACCAGATGGCGGGGGCGACAGGGTTAGTTAAAAAAAAATATTTGATGATTTTTTTAACGTTTCTAAATTTTATTTTTTAACGTTTCTAAATTTTTATTTATCTTATTATCTTTTACTTTTTTATTTGTTATAATTTTGTTATCAATTTATATTTGTATTTCTTTTTTTTTTACTTAACTTTGTTGCTATCACACAGGAGCTAACAAGCCCTTGTGTGATAGCATTTGGAAGTGACTCTTTATGGAACCTGTCTATCCCAATACAGGAGATCTAGCACAGTGCTGTGCTGGAACTCCTGTGACAGCTGACAGGGGAAGGGTGTGAGTGCAGCTCTCCCCTCTCACTGTTTACCCGGAGCAGAGTTGAGAAGGGACATTCACCGCTCTGCTCCCCGCTCTCCATCCTGAAGAGAGGATCTTCGGCCAGCGGGGAGAGAGGTAGTCAGCGGGGCAGGTTGGGGGGAGGACGGACGAGCAGTCTGCACGCTACATTTAGCTCTGCTTGCCCAAAGCAGGGCTAAATGTACAAAACAACAACCCATCCAGCACCCGGGATAGGGAATAGGAATCCCTCGGTTGGTCTTGTGGGAAATCCGGCCCTGATGACTGGACAACTCCAGTTGTGGTACATAATATCAGCTGGGGTTGGGTACAGCGTATACAGTCATGGGTGGCCATACCTCTCATTATATGTAAACAAACTTGGATGGTGGGATGAGTGAAAAATATACAGCTGGATTAACTGGTTTTTCATTGTTGGTGATATATATGTATGAAAAGAGCATGTCATCCCTTTTTTTACTGCCATGGTGGGCATAAGAAGCTGCCATTTAGCAACTGCAAATGAAGACTTCCCAAGTTTGGTATGTAATAAATGGGTGTATAGAGTAGAAACTAACCCTTAAGAGACCTGTGATCTCAAAAGGCCTATTAGGGGGTAGTTGCATACAGGCATATTCTGAGTTCAACATTGTGCCTTCAAGCCAGGACGAAGTTGTAGAAAAAAAACCACTTTGCTTTTAACTCCCTAAACTAGCTAAGGAACTCAAAAAGACTATTTTGTAATAAATCAGCGCAAGCCAGAAATACCTACCAGATGGAAGAAGAGACTTCTGTGACACATTATCCAAATACTGATCCTCATTAAGGCAAGTAATGTTGCCATCATTATCCGTTGATTTTGACCACTTTGCCATTTATTTTACTGTAAAATAAAACAAATATTATGCTGTTCTTTATTCCCAAAGTATGATGCTATCTTCCTTAAATATTAGTTCTATTTAACAAATAATGTTATATTGTATTGCTTATTTCTTAAATATGGACAAATTAAACACCAAAATGCTCCGTAAAGCACTACAAAGATGTAAGTATGAACAGAACATACAATGAAATCAAACACAGTGAATTAACCAACTTAAAATAAGCCTTGGGGGCTTAATATTGTAAGGATATGCAGAGGTATTTTTTCATTGCAATTACTGTATTATTATCATATCATCAAATAGGAAAATAAAATGTGTATATAGCCCCAACAGTTTGTGCAGCGCTCTGCCCATGTATTCTGTGCATTGATTGCAGCTGTGTAATTTGCTCCCTGCATCCTATTAGAAAACATACTCTATGTAGACATTTATGTGTAAGCAAACACTGACCACACCAGATATAAGAATGGCCCTCTGTTGATATATCCCCTTTTTTTGAAATACATTTATATGTAAGCAGCATCATGCAGTCCTTTAAAAGTAAGAGGGAGCAATGTATAGATCATATACAAATTGGAGTAATACTGTGAAAGTATCCTGAAAGTAAGAGAAGATTTTTTTTTAATTTGTAGAATAATAAAAACTAGGGAAAACATTTATTAAAATAGTAATAGTCTCACCCTTTTTCACGCAGAAACAGAATGAAGTGCTGAAGTAAGGTCCTTAGACTTCCATGTGAAACTAGGACTTTTACATGAGACTTCTTTCCTTTAAAACAGAACAATGACTCATACTGTCATCTGACAAAGCTATAGTGGTCTGTGTATTTACTAAGTAAGCAATCTACAGGGACCTTTCTTGTATAACAAACTACAAATTCCCATAGCATACAAGCTCTAAATGGGTCCTGTGCTAAGAGCAATATGTGAGCTCCCAGTGGTGAGCTCTCCCTTTATATACTACTTCACTGGCTGCATACTTGTTTCAGATCAAGAACCGAAAAAGCCAAAGACAGATAAGCAACTAGCATTTCCAGAAAAAATAAAATGAACAAGGTTTCTTGAATTCCAGGTTTTTTTTAACAAATGTAGAATCTTGGCTTTCCCTTTGCAATGCAGTCTATGGGGTCTATTCACAAAGCTGCCATAGGAAGCAGAGTGAACAACCGACCCTAAGTGAAGTGAGGCGAACGCTGTTTGGCTATTCACTTCAGGCATGTAAGGCTGATTTCAGCTGTATATCGCCTGAAATCAGCCGTACATCGGGTGGCTTCGGGTCGGCCACCCGAAGTGCAGAAGGATTTCGACTCAGCCGATCCAACATCTGGATCGACTAAGCCGAACCTCCGGCAGGCTACTTGCTGCTGTTCTGTCTATTCTCATAGATGTCGAACAGCAGTGAGTAAATAGCCGAATGCCGCTGAGCGGCATTCGGCTCGGCTGTTCTGCTCGGTCCCTCCGTGGGACCGAGCAGAATAGCAAAATAGTTAAAAAAGTAGAAAAAAAACAATAGAAAATGATTGGGCGGAGCTAGCAGTGACAGCTAGCGCCGCCCAACTGTTTTCTATTGGCACGCGGTTCTGCTGCCTTCAAAAAAATTAATTAATTTTGCCATAGGAATACAATGCTAGATTCCTATTGGCTATTTCAATTTGCAATAGCCAATAGCAAACTAGCTATTGCACCCGCCCTCTGCGCCTGTCAATCACTAGTGGGGACCTGATGGAGAACTGCAGGTCCCCTCTGCTGATTGATAGCAGCAGTGGGCGGGTGCAATAGCTAGTTTGCTATTGGCTTCTGCAAATTGAAATAGCCAATAGGAATCTAGCAATGCATTCCTATGGTGAACATTTTTCTTTTTATTATTCTGATGGCAGCCAACGGCTCCATGTCAGAATAAAAAAAAAAAAACAGGGAAAGGTTTCCCGAGCAGAGCAAAACAGACCAATCGAGCAGAGAAAAACTTTCCTTTAGAAAGTATTTCTCTCCTGGGCGGCCGGGAGCCGCTATCTAATAGCGGGAGACTCTCGGAGCTCCCAGGAGAGTTGGGCTGCCTGGAGATCAGTGTCCCTGGTTAGCTGGTAACCAAGAACGCTGATCTCTCTGCAAGTGGCCGGAGCCAGCCGTAAGATCACGGCTGGCTCC